ACTTCACATATCAAACTGAATCAAAACATATTGTCAAGGTATTGTTGGACTATAAATTTGTTGGCTAGAACGAATCAAATGTGGGATTAAGACGGTTATGCATGAGATATTTAGATTTGAATTAGAATCGTGTAGATTTTGATTACAAAGAACGACTACAACGAAAGATTACGGGAACTACTGCTTACATACAAAGATAAACGATAAAGAAGGCTTTCAGAGGAGAGACGACTATGGAATTTGAACACTTTGACCACCATTCTTCTCTACTGCCAATGTATAGCTAAACAATTTGAACACTTGAGAGTTGAGACCAATTGGTTCTTAACATGATACTAGAGCCGTCTGTGATAAGAGGTTTTCTGTTCGAATCATGACGATCCCATTTTCTAATTGTGCAAACTTCAAGACCAATGGAGTGACTTGAGTTTGAGGGGATATGTTAGTATGTGGTATATAAGATTCATTATTAAATATCTCTCAACATCCGGGGTTACTGGAACCAGACGGCTTATGACATGTTCGAATCTCCACGGTCCCTAATATTAACAAATGATCTAAGCTCAATGTATGGTAGGCTTGTGCAACTTCAACCCTGTGGCCGACTTTTGTTCGAAGGAACAGTTTAGAGAGTGATATAAAATTCATAATCAACATTTTTCGAACAACTCACATTATTGAAATTAACCAAAATTAACCTATGCTTGTCAAATGGAGGAACATATTTTGCATAGTTGAGTGACCAAACTTAATTGACGGGCTGCTATTTACTAACTAGTAATATGAAAAAAAAAAACTTAGATCATTTGTTATGCCGGGGCTTGTAATCTCTTGTAATCTCTTTCTGTTTATTCTTAATATATATCATCCTTAACAAAAAAAAAAAACTAGTAATATGAAGTCCAGTCAAGGGTTAGTACATCTAATAGCTCAAGACTAAATACAGTAAACAGCGATGGGAAATTTCGTGGATTTTAAAAAAGCCCCGAGACCGGACTTTCATTACCCCGTCACCATCTCATTTGCTGTTTTGTTCGACTTATTCCACCTAGTTTGATTGACTTGGAATTTCCAAGTTGTCGGAATTTATTACACTTATCTACCAAGAATTTGCGTGCGATTTGGATAAGCTGTGGATAAATAAAGTGTTTGATTAATCCAATTTAAAATGATATGATTAGAAGTGCATATTAGTTGATTCGATCCCGAACAAGATCGAAGCGGGATACAAAAGAATCATAAGTTGTAGAATTTGATGATGCGGAATAACAAGAACACGAGACAAACGATTTTACGTGGTATCCTCGATCTTGATTGATCGAGACTAATCCACGGTGAGCTCAGAACGAGCTCACGACTGATGTTTTATTATACGACTACATCTTGACGGCTTGCTTACGACATGACCGTAGCTAAGCTTTTATAGATATAGACTTAGGGTTAAAACCCTAATGACAACCAAGTTTCCTTCTTTTACTTGAACAAGGAAAACTAGGGACTTGTAGGACAAGGAATTAATTATTTTTGACTAAATAATTAATATCCTCAACACTCCCCCTCAAGCGAAGACATGAGTGACAAGAATGTCGAGCTTGAAAAAGGAAATGTGACGAACAAGCATGACAAGCTTGAACAACAAAAACTCGAGATGAACAACATCTCGGACGAGGCTGATTTGGAGACGACTGACTCTCTCCCTTGAACAACCTGATGAAGATGGTTGACTGCATCTTCTTGAACGTCGTGACGAGACGGTTGATTGCGTCTCTTGAACGACCTGACGGAGACGGTTGACTGCGCCTCTTGAATGACTTGACGGAGACGATTGACTACGTCTATCCGTATGATATGGTGGAGATGGTTGACTGCATCTCCTGAACGACTTGACTCCCTATTCTCCCCCTCAAGCTGACGCATGAACGATGTGAATGCCCAGCTTGAAAGTTAGAATGGTGATGACTCAACATTGACCGATCCCTTCTTTGATCGTGACTGCCTCACCAATACACAAACCTTGATCTCCTTTCATTAATTTGCGGCTTTGTGAACTTGATGAAGAAGGCAGGACTACAACGATGACAAAACTTTGTGACATGGAAGACTGAACAAGTTCCATGAACACCAGGGAGGGGAGCGATGACAACATAACTTTCTTTGACCTGGCGGGCTCCCACCAACATGTCACCAAACTTTAAATAACCCACGATGCTTATTCAAGAGCTGCTTGACACATCCGCCGGCGGCAAGGACCGAGGCTTCACGGAGAAGGATGCACTCAAAAAGGCTGAAGCGAACTGGGCAGCCAGCAAAGAAATTCAAGCGGACAAACTTGGGTGGTATTGACTAGCGACAAGACTTCCGACTGAGCTGACCGGAGATGATGGATTTGGACATCGGGGCGGCTTGATTTGCTGCTGTGATGGAGAGCACGCTGACAACGAGGTAGTTGTGGACGAGGGAAACGAGGTCAGAAAGGAAGCTCCGAATGGTGATGAGACTTCGCTGGCTGACGATTCAGGGCGGAACCGGATACCCAACCAAGTTTACTGTCGGTGATGCCTGATTGCTCCACGACCGTGATTGGGACAGGTACCCTGATTTAATGAGGAGCCCTCTTCGCTGGAGTTGACGGTCAGTTCTTGGACTGTGACTACCTCGCTTCATGACATCCAACTCTGGCTACTGAAGGCAGTGGCGTAGCCAGGATTTCATTCAAGGTGGGTCCGACGTGAAAATAAAAATATATATGATAAATATAATTAATATTTACATGACCCACGATGTGTTTTTATAGTTTTTCGACCGATCTCGTTTGAGGATGGAGAAATTTACCCTAAATTATAAATTAAAAAACTAAGAATAAACCATTAGAGATGTAGTTTTATGTAAAAATCTAGAGTTAATTACATAATATGTAAGGTTAATATGTGCTATAAAGTTTTCTACAATATGTTAGTAGAAAAGTAGTGAACATGAGGGGTTTGATTTTAACATTAGGGGTTTCGTACAAATATATATATTGTGAAGTTGCAATTGTTTATGTGAGATTGTTACTTGTATTGTGAGATTGGATTTCGTATTAATATATATATTTAACAATCACAACTTCCAAACAAACACTTAATCTCGAGCCAAGGTAGGTCCGGGGACCCACCCTCTTCCAAGCTAGCTCCGCCACTGACTGAAGGGACAACCAATACTTGGGTTGTGACTATCTTCACTGCCATTACCTTGAACTGATGTTGTGAAGATTCATCTTTCTATGACCTTTTTCTTTATCAGCACCACGAACACCAGGCATGCAGCTGATGATAATTATTTTACTCCTTTGACCCAGCAAACTACCACCGATCGGTCTCCAAACATTAATTAACCAAACGATGACGAAACAAAAGGAGGAAAAGCTTATTCTTCCCTGCAATCAAGCAACGAAACCCAAGGCAAACCCAGTGTTACAGCGGCGATTGGTGACGGGAACTGAACACCCCAGGTATGGACAATTTCGGAGAGGCGGCTGCAACGACAGAGACTTGGGACACATCCCGGCTGACCTGGAGATAGAGGCTTCACCGGAAGGGGTTGCTTCTCTGGAGACGGACAAGCCCGCTCGATTGATGCCTGCTGAACATGACGATGACGAAGGCGCCTCGAGGCAAGGCGACGCTGCGACAAACACCGAGGAGGCTTGAACGACTTGGATCCGAAACAGACCTTCTCTCCGCCGTTCCTCTTACCATTCTCGTCGTTCGGTGACTGGTGATGATGACGACCAGCCGTGACAAGGACGACGATTGATAACAAGAGCACAATCGATGATGACACGACGGCGGACTAGAGATCTCGTTCTTGACTGCAGCGGGAAGGACTTCGCCCACTTTGATACGGATCCAGAGTAGAAGGTCGGAGTGGACATCGACTCTTCTTTCAACGACAACCATGACTATCGACGGGACTCCGGGGTGATGTTGGGGAGACGCCAACATGGAGTTGACTACCGGCGGTGGCTTGAGAGATTGACTGACGGCGGGCTGGACTTCGCCTTGACTGCGGAAGCACAAAACCCTAGATAAGGGATCGAGTTTCGCTCTGATACCATGTAGAATTTGATGATGCGGAATAACAAGAACACGAGACAAACGATTTTACGTGGTATCCTCGATCTTGATTGATCGAGACTAATCCACGGTGAGCTCAGAACGAGCTCACGACTGATGTTTTATTATACGACTACATCTTGACGGCTTGCTTACGACATGACCGTAGCTAAGCTTTTATAGATATAGACTTAGGGTTAAAACCCTAATGACAACCAAGTTTCCTTCTTTTACTTGAACAAGGAAAACTAAGGACTTGTAGGACAAGGAATTAATTATTTTTGACTAAATAATTAATATCCTCAACATAAGTAAAGGAAAGATACAAATTAAAACTCGATCAAATTTATATTTGGTGTGATCGAATCGGAATACAAACGAATAAAAAAGAAGAAGATAAAGATAGAAGTTGATCAAATTCAGATTGATCGGAATACAAACGAATCAAAAGCAAAGGAAAGATAAAGATTATAAGTCGATCAAATTCATGTTTGGTGTCATTTGATTTGATAATAATGTTCAATCAAAATCTAGTCGAAATATATTCGATTCAATCTGGTATGGTTGCCCAATGCCCACTCATAGATAGCCAGATAGGATGGTCAGATTAATGTAAACCGAGTTTCAAATTCTCGTATATTAGAGCTTTCAACACATCGGGTCAAATTTGGGCTCAGCCCACAAACACAATCCGGAAAGGCCCACACTGCAAAGGAAATATAAAAAAAGCCATATGCCACCGCCGGCGGGCAACACAAACCCGCCATTTTATATAAACAGTTAAACCCAAACACCAATTATTCAAATAAAACTTGAGAAATCTGACTAATCCTCGATTAAACATAACCTCACCAAGAGGAGGGATATAATGGTAAATTTAAAATTCCGACCATTCTAGATCGAGGCTCAGAAATCGTAGCAGCGGCCGTTCCGCTCCCAATCGCCGTACCGAGTCGGCTCGGGACCCCTGGGCCCGCCGATCTCGCCCGTATCTTTGTTCAGGTCAAGCTCGTCCTCGCCATCTTCACCACCCTCTTCTCCTTCTACTTCCGCCTTCGATCCCTTCTCGTTCTCAGCCTCCGGATTCGGATTCTTGCTCGGCGATTCCTCCTCGCGCGGCTTGGATTGCTGAGTCGTCGTCGTCGTCGTCGTCGTCGAGCTCACGAGTCTGCGGAGGGAGTTACCCACCGGATCGGATCTGGCGCGGGACGCGGCAGGGATTGATGGGGAGGAGTAGGGCAATTTGGAGAATAAGCGTGCGAGATTGCTTCTCGCCATCGTCGCCTGATTTGCTGAAACTGATAAGAACCCTAAAAGAGTAAAAGCCCTGTGAGATTTCTTCCCTTTCGATTACATAAAGAAGGGAGCTAATTTGGGGGCGGCAAGGCATTTTCGACCGGGTTTATTTTGGTAGATGCGACAATGCCACGTGGGCAGTAGTGAGCTTGCCAACGCGACACGGAGAGAGATCTCTCTGGGCTTCACTTGTCGAGCAAGTGGCCCATGAGATTGATGGTTCGGCCCAAATGTTAATACCCAGAGGAAAAATATTACTTCGCAGAAGCTATAGCTAATAGCTGTTTTAGTTTTACGACAAAGTTTTGACTACAACAGCCACAAAAATCATAAAGCCTAGTATTAGTATCAGTACTCATTTCTGAAACTTGTTGTAGGCATGGCGGGAAGGATTTAGGAATGGTAATTGACATTTGACACCATGGAGAACTAGGTTAATTTGAATCCATACTATACCTAGCTAGATATAAGAAAAGAACACTTGATCATACTTACTGATGATGATGTATGTATCTCTAATATTGGTCCCTAGCTTGTCACCTATGGTTATGCAATATTCTTTTGAATTGCATGCCAAGTAGTTAATTATATGGTAGATGATTAAATGTACCCGGACCTGAATCGAGCTAATGGACTAGATCAAAAGTAGAGTGAAAATGACGGTTGGAGTCGATCGAAAATGCATTTTATGATCTGGTTTGTTCCAGTCTATATGGAATACTTACTTTGGTGGAAAACCTGAGATACGTGTGTATGTCAATGTCATTTTTTCAGGAATATATGATACTTTCGTGTCATTGTGTCTTATGGGACCTTGAATTCGTGGAATATCAAGCTATATAAAGGGTACACAAAAAGGGAGTTCGATTCGATTAATAGTTCATCAAACTATTCGTTATATGTCATTTTTTCCATTCCAAATTAAAGAATTCAAAATCAATATTAAAATGACATCAAACACTCGCGTCCAAGCACTTGGAAACACACGATTGCTTGATCTGCTGGAACCACTTGTTGTTCATTTGCCATATTCTTCAAGGACTCCACGAAATCAATTACCTAAACTAACTAAATGCAATTGTAATATATTCAAAAGTGTTTGCATTTTTCCATGTATTTTTTTAGAATTATTATTATTCATTTTCCGTGTGGTTTTCCCTCTTATAAGGTTAACATTTGATCTTCACTTTCGTATGGTCCGGCTGTGTGCTTGAGAGAGATTTCCCAAGTGGAGTACCTCAAGATAAAAGAAAAATTGCATACACCAGTAGGAGAATAAAGCAATCATCAACTAATGAAAATATTTGTTTTAATTATTGCATAAAAATTATGGGTAGTACATTCGAAAGATAGACTATGTCGTCAATAATTTAAAACAGGGGACTGGGGACTCAAAGTATGGCACTTGTTATAGCATAAGTCATGACAGATGCTGTAAGGAAATGAGCAGGACTTCAAGCACGAAACATAACACGTTGGATCTGCCGAAACCAGTTGTTGATTCATCCAACCTAAAACCACAAACAACACCATTATCAACACGCACATCTTCTTCATGGCCTCCATTTTGTTTCTCTATGTATGTATATGTATCTTTTATATAATATATATTACTGATATATGTATCAACTATCAAGTAGTGAATTTTGTGGTGGAGCTAGCATCTTTAATCCCCTTTTTATAGTGTAGTTTTGAGTCTCTGTTATGGGAATGTAAAGGGAAACAACCTTAATAAGAAAGAAGATAGTGGAGAATCTAATTGCAATGAATATAGAGATAGAGTTTCCTTTTTTTTTTTCTGTCATATTTATTTTAAATGGAATTTCATTCATTGTGTTGCATGTATATTGTATTTGTATACCATTTTTTGTTGTACCATATGTAGAATTTAAAGTAAACCTATGTCACTTGTTCTTGTCCGGTACTTTAACTTAAACGATTTTGAGCAGTGCTCATCGAGTTAAATAAGATCCACAAGTTTAAATTTAGATCCAAACTATCACTTACATGAACACTAGAGCGCATTAAGTCATTAGAGAAAGATTTGCGTAACACGTTGTTTTAATTCAATTATTACACCTTTCAAAAAAAAAAATTCAATTATTACATAATTAATAATGGTCTTCCATACCAATTAGAGTACGTTAATATATTTACTATTTACATAACTAATTATGGGGAATTTTAAGTTTTAACTAATCTAGTCATTCAACTCACAAAGATTAACAGTTTTTTTTTTTTATTCGCCTCCCCGCCGCCGGCCGGGAAACAGAAACAAAAGCGGAAACGGACAATAAATAAATAAATACATAAATAACAGCTGTCTCATCGGTGTCCTATATAAACCAACAGTTTGGCCAATCCAAATTCGGTTGCATGCAATTAGGGTTTGGAGTTTTCAGTATTCATACCTACAATCAATCATGCAAAGCACACTCGACAGAAAAATGGTGGCCTTCTTCCAATCCGACACCTTCACATCCTTCGTCGACACATTGGTCGAAGACATAGAGGAATCGATCGACTACATTGCTGCCGAAGCAGCTGCGCTATTCGCGCTGATCGGTAAACTGATCATTCGCCCTCTTTTACCCGCCAAACCCATCGGCCGCCTGCTGCTCGAGATCGCGTGCTTGCAAGTAGCCCTCCTCTTGAGACACTTCTACGACGACGACGACAACGACGATGATTATATCTGGAACTGGCTCTTCTGCTCGATGATCGCCGTCAGTTTTCAGGTTTACGCCGCGATTTGCGGTGGCGTTTGGGATGCTCTGTTTGTCGTGCTGATGCAGAGCCTTGTTTGCTGGATGCCTGCCGATAGCTTCATCGTCACGGCGGTGGCGATAGAGTGCTGTGCTTTCCTTATTGCTCGAAGATATTACCGTAGTAACGGAAAATGAAAGTTTGTACGTACTTTCGGTTGGTTTTGTAATTTGTGGCATAATGTTTAATTGTTTATGTATTTCGACATTTAATCGCTTGTATTGGATGGTTATATCGACAATATAATTAATGACAAGAATATTTGAATATACTGGTCGAAATACTATTACTTGCAATCAAATTTTCGTTGCTAATGAGGCAACTCTCTTTAGGATGCAACTCTAGTGACAATGTGAATTCGACACAAAATGTTTGGTTAAACTTTAGTGACGAATTATGCAATGGGTTTAACCCTTGCTACAAACATCTTCTCAATGTATAGCTACATTTTGACCCTTGTTAGTTTTAGCAACCAAATCATCAACGGTTACAACTCATGCCTGGACATTTAATCATTGTAATTTACATAAACGTGTGTATCAAGGTTTTAAATCCTTGGTACATTAGCAATGGTTAAAATTCTTGCTATAACTCGTGGTTGAGACTTCCACGATGGGTTGCTAAAACCCCTTGCTACATGTAGCAGGGACAACATTGGCGAGAGTTCATCCAGGAATTAGAAAAACTCTTGCTACAACTTTTAGCACGGGTAAAACCCTTGCTATAAGTCGAAAAATCCCTTACCATAGACCTTTTATCGTAAATTCCTCTACACATCTCCAATTGTGCTCAGGTGATCCACCCATAACAATAACCCTAGAAATGTCACAATAAGTGGAAGAAGAAGAATTATCTAAGACTAAATGATTAAAATATTAATATTATGGGAGATTTTAATATGGTATGGGCTTATTAAAAAAAATAATTGCTAAAAATAAATAAGTTCAAATCACAACCTCCTTTTAAAAGTATTTTCCAAACTAGTCATTAGAGTGGTTTTGGGCGATCACGCTAGATTTTAGGCATTGAGTAATCCCAAATTCAAAACAATCATGTAACTTTTTTCCCCACAAAATGCTATTCAAACTTCAACAAAAGAATTCTTCTTGTATGTAAGGCTCTGATACCAACTAACTATTGTGAGCTGCTCCGAATTGACCCGATCCGGGTTTTAACATGGACCAGATTAATTCAGATTTTTTACTATTTAAGTGATCAAAGGCCGGATTAGATTGTTTAACATCCGGTCTCGATCTCAAATGGTTTGGGTTATGTGGTCCGATTTCCGGTTAAATAAAAAACTCTGGCCAACTAGCCAGCCCTAAGTTCCATGTTCTAAATGAAAGCATTTGGGATATACGGACAATCTTTACTCATGTAAGGATAGAGTAAACCAACCCATAATTAGGTTGAGGTTCTTTTGTGTCTTCGAGTTTCCTCCTTGGTTCTTTGAGGTCTTACTATGAAAATACTCCTCCTCTTTATCATACTGTTAAGAAAAGCACACAGGTATGTCAAGAGATAGAAGGTGTTTGAGGCAGATTGAATTAAAGTTGTGTAGATTTTGATTACAAAAATTACTATAACGGAAATTACAAGAACTACTACTTACTTACATTCAAAGATGAACGAGAAAGAAGGCTTTTATGGGAGAGACTCTGGAATTTGAACAGTACTATGACCACCATCTTCTCTACTACCAATTTATAACTAAAAAAATTGAACATTTGAGACAAATTTGGAGTTATGCAGGCGGCATCGCGTCGCCGAGTGCCGATTAGATTGAAAGTAGCCTCTTCTTCAATAAAAAAACTTCCTCACAGAACTACCCGTCTTTGAATCCGCCATCTAACTAATAGAGATCAAGTAACTCAACATGTAGGGCTGACATCATGAAAGAAAACAATAAATCAACCGCAAAATAGACGAGTGTTGAAGACTTACAAGTATCGTTCCGTATTTTGTTCAACTATTCTTTAATCATCGTATCGCGGTTGAGTTTGAGCAGCTACGGCGACCTCTCTAGCGCGGACAGCATCTTCAGCTGCAGTTGCCAACATCTCCCTCACACCGGGGAAATTTTCATTGAGAGTTGCTTCAGCAGCAGCAACGGCTGCCTCAGCAGCAGCAACGGCTGCCTCTCGTTCGGCGAGAACAGCTCCGACATCTCTTGCAGCTGTCTCCCTTTCAATTAAGGTTCTCTGCCTTATTGCAAGAGCAACTTCAGATCTGGCTCTCAATGACGCAACTTCTCTTCTAGCTTGAGTGGCTTCCAGCTGGCATTCCAATTCCTTGCTCAAAAGGGACTCCGTTTTCTTGCTCCATTCCAATTCCTTCTTGCAAGCCATCAATTCTGCGCTCTTCTCATCCACTAACTTGCTCAAAAGGGACTCCGTTTTCTTGCTCCATTCCAATTCCTTCCTGCAAGCCATCAATTCTGCGCTCTTCTCATCCACTAACTTGCTCAAAAGGGACTCCGTTTTCTTGCTCCATTCCAATTCCTTCTTGCATGCCATCAATTCTGCGCTCTTCTCCTCCAACCTCCGTCGGAGCTCCTGGTTGCCTTCCTCCGCAGAGCTGAAAGTTCCGCCAACCTTCGTCGCCGCAGTGTACATGCCAATGCTCGTCACTCTGCTGCTGTGTTGATCAAGTAACTTCTCGTCACATCTATCCCGATCATCAGGGCGATCGGTGAACTGCATAGTTTTAGATAGATCAATGTGGGATTCTGATTCAAAAAAAAAAAAAAAAGTACAAAAGCCATCGTTTCTACTTTCATAAGCCCATTAATTAATCACCTTCTCCACCTCCTCCTCCTCCTCCAACTTGCTCGAAATCTGCTTGCTGCGCGCCGCCAGCTCATTGCCGGCTCTCACCATTCCTCGAACGTCCAGCACGGTTTCTCCGGTGTACATGTCGACTCTGTCCCACACGGTGTAACCGGTGCCGACGTCACGGGGCAGTTTCACGCCGTACTTGGACCAGCCAAAGAGATCGTTGATCCGCAGGGCCCCCCCGCCGCCGCCATTGACCGGGCTGATTATGCAGAGGCCGATGCGGTTCACGAAAACGTTGAATCCCGCCGCGGAGCTGCCCCCTCGCATCTTAATGAGATCGTTCACCAGCGTTCTGAGCTTGTTTCTCTTAACCGTGGTCCCAAAGACTTGCAGCGCCTTGTATTGTTGTTCCAGAGGGCCGACGCGGACTCGAAAACTGATGTCCCAATGCTCGACAAGGCGGCGGCGGGTTTGTTCCCCTCGCGTCCCCTGGAAATCGTCGTTCAGGTCGCCCTTGTACCAGTAGACGTCAAGAGTACGACTGCAAATAACGCATGGTGTGATGAATATTTGGTCGGACTTCAAGGTGAATGCTTTCGACGTCGACATTCCGACGGCGGGATAGTAAACTTTAATGCGAGAGAGACGAGAGTGTTAGGGTTTGTTGTTTAGGTTTATTTTCCCTGACGGCGAACTGAAGAAAGACGAAAAATACGATACATAAACCCTACCAGTCCCGGGGTGTGGACGTCGGTTGGTTCGCTCGACAATCGGATCGAACCGGAATAGGATCGAACTCAAAAGTAAAGAAAAATAGGGATTATAACCAGTGGGGGAGGCAGGATTTGAAATTATCTATGTTCTCTTTTCATGATACAAATATATAAATATTTAATAAATATAATTAAAATTAATTATATATTCAAATAATTCATTCATAGATAAAAAAATGACCGACTAATACAATCATTATTTTCATAAACAACCACGACGAGATTTCGTATTGTGAAAGAAACGCAAAAACATGTGTTTGTCTACACTTTTAAGTAAGTACTCTTTCAATGTATTCCACAATACAATCAAATATCAAATTGATCGCCAATTCGACTTTGAAACTCGTTCTTAATATAACTCAAATCCAAAAGTGTTCTCTCTACAGTTGCAGCTGCAATTGGTCGAATAAAAACTAGTGGAATTGTCGTTGTCGCTGAACAATTTTAGGATTGTTGGAGAAAAATCGAATAGGCATAAGAAGAAAAGAGATCCAATTTATTGCAATTAAAATTTCATTTATAGTATAATAAATTAGTTGTATGTTAATTTATGAATAAGTAATAAGTTTCGGTGTAGTGACACCGTACTCTCATATCACTCATAGGTGTTGTGTTCCATCATCAATATAAATATAATATATGGAATTTTTTGGCTTGCAAAATTTACATTTATCCCGTGACAAGGTCTAACCGGCCTGTCTCTGTTATAACCAGATAAAAAACATAGATTTGGCTTGTTTTGAATCAGCTTAAATTTACTTTCGAATCAATCTTTTTTACTATCAAAATTCATTGATCAAATTCAATTCAATTCAAATATCAATTTTGTACCCTGCCCACCCAACCAGTCCGGTAGTAGTTCCGGTCAGTAACTCACATGTGAGTAACTATGCATAACTTAATCATCATCCGCCACAAAAACATCTCTTCTCTCTCCTGGAAAGCCTTTTAATTTTTTTCTTCTTAATCTTTAACGAACGATTTCTCACTCGTTTTAAGTCGGAACGTAATTTTTTTTTTTGCACAATTCGATTAGATTAATTGTGCTCTTCAAAATGATATTCGCTTTGATATATTTTTGGAACAAAAAAATTTGAGTCATTTTTTACCAGTCTATAACAGGTGGTATTGACTGATATTAAATAAGAGCATACTATATAGTATGAAAGCTTATCATGGTGGTATGAACATACCAAGACTGTAGGATGATTAAATACATGATAGTAGGAGTATACTAATTGTCATTTATCACTTTTAACAATATGTATCATAAGATACCACCCCATACCAGGGTGGTATAGTTGGTTTTTTTGGGTTCTGTATTTTTTTTTACCCAGAAATTTGTAGAGCAAATAGATCATGATGAACTCGTTTCTTCTGTGCATAAATTTTCAAAAATGACTTAAAAACGAAAGAGATATCATATGGTATGTAGTTGGTAATGGGAGGTATGAAAAAAAAATTCTCAAAAAATATTGAAAATATATCTCATTTTGTAAAGCACAACGAACTCGTTCCATCTGTGCAAAAAAAATTAGAGTTAGAACGAAGAAGATAAAAATCGATTAAGAAAACTAGAAAAAATAAAATGCCTTAAATTCTCAACCCTTATATCTGAATTTTCTGGGCACTTTTAAACCCAATGGCCTAGATTTGGTTACTGATTGTGAGTAAGTTTAGGGGTTACTGACGGAGCCAAAGCCAACCAGGGTGGATACACGGAGAGAGGATCCGGTGACGAAGGGGGGGTGCTTAGTCACTTGACTAAGCCCCTCCCAGCCCTTAGATCTGGACACATCAATCTGATGGTTAAAAAGTGAGAAGGACTATTTAATTAATGACAGGGGTAGTTTGGGTATTATGGAAAATTATGAAGTATACAAATCAGACTTACAATCAGTACAAACCATACAAACAGTACAAACTAGAGCGACAAAACATACAAACAGATTTACAAACATTACAAACATATGAACTGTACAAAAAATACAAACTAGACCGACAAACCATACAAAAAGAAAAAACAACCAGGTTGACTTTGGAGGCTCCATCTCTATATAGAGGGGCTACTTCCCAAAGTCAACCCGGGTGTTTTTTAAACATACAAACATGGTGGACAAAAATGACAAACTAGACCAAAAATTCATACAAACTGGATATACACCCGGGTTGACTTTGGAGGCTTCATCCCTATATAGAAGGCTCCGTCTCAAAGTCAACCCGATTAAACTGTCTTACTCTCTAAAAGAATATACGGCAAAAATCAGAAATTAAAGGAAAAGGCACCATGTTATTACTTAATACTTAATAATTATTAGGCATTAGCTATTAAAATATAGGCGGTTAACGTTTCATTTTCTAAATGAATTTATTAATAATAATTAATTATAAAGTCCTGCCTGCCCAAGTTTTGGATTTGAGAATATGTGGTCAACCGAAGGATTTCAAAAAAGAAAATCCAAAACCTATTTAACCTAAAAACATAAAACGCCACATCTCCCTCCCGCCTTCCTCCCAACCCAATCAAACAAAGAACCCCTGCAATTCCATCAAACACAGAACCCTGCAAAACCACAGAAGACAGAACAGAGTCTCTCTGGGTTCTGTCACTCTTTCCTCTTCCTTGACACAACTCTAACTTCCCATGGGTTGACCTCAAAGTTCGATCATACCGATGGTATTCATGTCGATCATAATGGTAGTGTTCACTCAATTTTCGTGACCGATACCACTTGACTTGACAACCATGGTTTTTTTAGGTCATCTTCGTTCCAAAGGGTTTGATTTCAAAAAAAATGTTAAACAACATTATGAAGATACACACAAGGGACAATACAAGTATCATTGTGAGACTTGTTATGATTCCTTCAAAAATGATTCTCTATCACTTATTATGTTGATATTGGACTCCATGGTGAAAGGAAGACAAATGTCTCACGAGTTGTTATGTTTGGGTGAGTTTAGTGGAATATACATTTGAATCGATAGTTTGGTTTTCTCCAATGTTTCATGAAACTAAAAACTTTTTCCCGTTTCCTCAAAACTAGATATTCACTTACACTCAAGAGTTTCTAGCAACAAAGCATCATGCCTTCTGATTGTTGACATTGGCTTGTTATACTCTAACGTCATGCATAAGACATTCATACAAGTTAACTCTGACTCATACTACATTCAAGTACGAGAGATGTGGCATTTTTGTAATCATGATTATCCTGTGTTGTTTGTTTTGTTTATATTAACATATAGGCAAATAACATGGTGAATCACTCCATTTCATTGGATTTCTTGCAATCATTTATTTATTCTCTTTACTCCAGTTAGCATGATTCGCGTATAAATGTCAAGTCTAAGCACAAGTTTATATGTTATTGGATCATGAATGGGCCTTGAGCTAAGTCTAATTTTCATACTCTAAAAGCTTACATTTGCACTCTCCTTCGTAACAAAGTAAGTGATAAGTAATCAAATTTTAATGAAAATAGATATATTTGACGCATTAGGTAATCAAACTTTCTAATCTCCATCCAAAAACTTGTGTAAAGTATGGATATTACTGTGTGCATGGTGGTGGTTGGTTCAATCCGAGTCGTCATAACCCAAATAATGTGCATGATTCATATATAGTCTAATAGTCATGGTCTAACTATACCATTAATCAAAAATCACAAATAATCTACATTTTAGAAAATATCTTTAGTATTATTAATTTTCACTCTCTAAAATTGTGTATAATTAAAATTTTCACTCAGGGTAAAAACATAAAAAAGGGGACAACAAAAATGAGTCGTACAAACGACTAAGCAAGTCATATTGGATCCCCTCTCTCACTAATCTATATTCTCCTGCCTTACGGTTACGGCAAGAATAGAAACCCTAGCTATTTAACCCCAAGGTAAAAGTAAAAAACTTAAAAAAGTAAAAAAAAAGTAAACAGAGACAGACAAACCGGCAGAGACAAAAACCGTAGCAATTTATTTATTTTATAATAAAATGAGTTGGATATTAAAATAGATTATATTTTATTTTATTTATTATTTCTTAATTGTCACGTCACTAAGTTAACAGTCAACTTTGAGAGTTGACTGCCACAGTACCACCAATGAATTTAAATATTTAGAGTGACCAAACTTGAACGTTTTTTGTAATTTATACACCCACCTTACCGGTGATCGAGAGGAGAACCGAGGATGCAGAGAGACAATTGACACGCATCCAACGGGAGGCCGAGGAAGCTGCAACCCAACGCGAACAACGGCGAAGAGAGAGAGAGAGACGTGGCCACTGTCAAGAACCAGTTGCTCCCAATAACTCGAGTTGTTGGGAGAGGTTCAATCGTGGATCATATACCACAACACTAACAGCGACCTACGAGAGAGATGCACGCAGAAGGGAGAAGGCAGAAGCTACAGATCAACGGGATGCTCTTCAACAGGAATGCCAAGAAGCTAAGGACCAGCTGTGGGACCGTGTACGTGAGAGGAACCAGGCCTTGGCCGAACGGGACAGACACCGAAAACGATGCGACCAGGCCAGAGTAGGAAGTGCCAAAGCTGTTGGAAATTTGGTCGAACCAAATATTATGGGTTAAATCGGTCGTACCAACCAAGACCATGTTTGGAATTTGACCGGATGCAAAACGTTTTGGAATTGGGTCAATTTGAATTTGAATGCCAATTATTCCATGCAACATTTGCCCCAATGGACAAATGTGCTCCACGTTGCCTTCACTTGCTATGCATGGATTGGCTACCTTTCATGCAATTTAGTGATTCCATGTAACGTTTCATTATTTGAAATGGTGGTTAATTTTGATAATGGCAACGGATGGAGGCATTGCTTCATGAAGAGACATCTCTT